CTTCAGCTATGGTCTCTGTTATGTCCATGGCTCCTTTTGCCACTGAAGGCTGTGAGATGCTGGAGGTTTGGGCCATCACTTGTGGCCACATTGGTGTTCAACAGCCATGCCATTGCAGGGGTCATCCCAATACGAGGGCCTGGTCTGCCACGAGGGCCATGGAGATGTCTGGGCTTGAGCTGTGGCTGAGATCCATGTCTGGGTCCATGACTCTACAGCAGTCAGGGTCCATGGCTCCTGTTGCCATTGGGAACTATGGAACTTCTTGGGGTTTCTACTGACACCTGGGGCCATGTTAGAGTCTTGGGGAAGATGGCCCCATCTCTTACCATGGGAGCAGAAGAGTTAGCTCCACTTCTCACCCAAGCGGGTGGTCCCAGCACCTGATACGACCAATTCAGCAGTCACCCAGGAACATATCCAGGCTTTTAAGCTGGCACACCCCAACATCTACCCCATGTGTGACCTCTTGAAGTCTGTGAAGGGACTGGTCCTAGAGAGCCATGTCTTCATGGTCTACATGACTTGGGGTAACAATGGGATGTCCAGGGAGTTTCTGTGGGGGTCCAGTGTCCATGGTGTACCAGAGGCCAGAGTTCTTGAACCTGACCAATTTAGTATTATACAACAAACGTTTGCAAGGAGCCCTTTGTACAAAAGGGTACACTGTGGTACACAGTGGCTCCCAGTGCCACTAGGACCAAAGAGAGGCAGACGGAGGAGTGAAGTGTTTACTTTTGTTTTGTTTTTAAATTGAAATTTGTATTATTTATTTATTATTATATTTTCTCCTTTTTATCCTTATCTTGGTTTTTACTGTTTCTTTGTTAGTTTTTTTCTGTGTGGAGACACTGCAGTGGTGAGGTTCTGATGTGGAGGGACTGGGATATGAGTAGGATTGGGATGCATGATGTGAAATTCCCAAGGAATCAATGAAAAATAAAGTAAATATCAATAAAAGAAAAAAGAAACTGTATCCCTTTTCTAAAAGAATGGCTAAAATACAATCTACTAACTAAAATTACAAGGAACAAATTAAATCAAAGGTATAAAAGAAACATTAGGAACAGTGTTAAAATATAGGACTTATCATAACAACACATGGAATCCTGTACAATATCTATTAGCAGGATACACAGCTGAAAAGGGACTATATTATCTCTTCTGCCATATAGAAGTGATGTCAGAAGTGTAGAGGAAAAAAGAAGAAAGAGAGAGAGAGAGACAGAGACAGAGACAGAGACAGAGGAAGGGAGAGGAAAAGAATAGATACTTAGGAAAAAAGGCAGCAACAGTGCTGGAAACCCAATAAAAACTGGAGGTAACCTCATGGAGTCAGGCTCAGGCTGTTAGTGCTGTACTCAAGAGAAAAGAATTACCAGGCTTGCTTCTTAGATTTCCAATAGAGAAGTCTATCATACTTTCCCTACAAACTCTCATTTCAAAGTCTGTGTCACAAATAGTTTCATATCAAAAATAGCTGGTGCACCCTCCCCACTCTACAGTGTAAGGGTCACACTACAACATTACACTGACAAAAGCTGTCAGGGAGTTCAGAACCTAGGGGAGCCAATGACCTGCCCACATTCCTTATTTTATACCATGCCTCTGAGGACCTAATCATCTTGCAGAGGAACCACAAAGTCCCACATGGACCAGATGTGGTGCTTAAATATAAATGCAATCATAGAAGAAAAGGCCAGAAAGGCAGGAGAAAGTGTCAGAGGTGACTTGGCAAAAGCATCAAATCTGTCTGTCTTCCAAACTTGGAGACAAGTGCTGCCATTGCAAATTATCCTTGGCCAAGGCACTGATTCTATGTCACTAGTGGTCTGAGCATCTGCAGTTATGATATCGTTTGTGAGAGGGACTACTGAGGAACAAGAAATCTATCAAAGCTCCAGTCCCACTGACAGGTACCTCCTAAAGCAAGGAATGTCCCCAATAACATTCCAAAATTGTTCTACCACAGACAGAAACATCAAGCCAACAGGGAGTGACAGAGGGACAGGACCAGAGATAAAAATTTTTAATGGGAAACCAGGGAACAATTCAGGAATTGCAGGCTCAGGCTTCTTAAAAGGTGTCTCTGATCCCTGCCACAATACCTGACATCAAAGATACTCATGATCCAGTCTAATGGGATTTTCAACAACTATTTACAAAGCCCCTACTAAGTACCATCTAAAGTGCTTGGTCAGCATTCCAGAGTGCCTAGAATGAGCCCTGTGATAACTTGCAAATAGGTACCCATTTATCTCTCAACTGGTAAATTGTGATACGTTTGCACCTAAGAACTGTTTAACACCCAGCATGCCTTTCAGATGGAATTACGAAGAAATGACAAGACCCCCACTACAGAACTAGAATTGGGTAGGTGAATAATAAGAAATGATAATTATTTGCATTTTTTTCAAGGAATGTATGCCGAGTTCCAAGAATATGGTTGGGAGATAACTTCAAGAGAGACAAAGGTTGGTTTTGTTGCAGACTGATAGCTTGGGAAAAAGCAAATCTCCCAGCTAGAATGTCTCACTCATGATTATAAAGAGAGAACATTGATATCTACAAGAGGGAGTTGAAACCTACTCATTACGAGAGCAGAGGGGGGCAGGCACTGATACTGTAAGAGTGACCATGACCTGATAAATTCCAGTACAGTCTGATCTACTCTGTCATTCTTAAGCTTGTATTCTCACAGTCAAAAGCTCAGGGCAGAGCTGAGATTTCTAATCCCTTTTCCTTCACTAGAGAGAACTGGCAAATTCCTAACTTCTGAGTTGTCTTTTTCACTGAATGTTGACCAGAGGCAGGAATTGGCTTTCTTCTCATTTTTCTGGAAAGTGAACTTCTGTTTATGTGGGATGCTAGAAACACATTGGCCAACTCATGTTGTTTTGCCCATCATCTCCCACTTTTAACACTGAGAGTCATGTGTCCTTCGAATCAATTTATTACCAGGCAAATTGGTCAGACAATCCTAGGGAAGAGCTGTTAGAACAAATTAGCTACCCAAGGTGCCTCCTGTTTATGAAATAATGGTGTTTATTTACCATTTTGTATTCTGGACTAGCAACCACTGGACAGATCTGTATGATTGGTAATATGTCTATGTGGCTACATTCAGCCGGCAAGTTGATTGGATAATTGAGATATTTGTGGTTTCCTTCTCCAATGTACTCAAAAGCCCTCCCTTCCCTTGTGCTACCTCCACAGTCATTGTTTGTTTTTATTTAATTTTAATATCTGGGTAGTTGAGTTTCCTATTTGGTTGTAAAGGGTCCCAATGAGTGTAGAGCCTGTCTAGGTTTTCAAAGCTGAGTCCTTCAACTGGCACACCAGCCTAAAGTCACATCTAATACATTAAAGTGGCAATAGCATCATTCCAAAATCAAGGCACTTGAACTATAGACCCCAGAAGAGTAGCATTAGGGATTGATTTGAGGGAGGGGACACCAATAGCTCCAAGGAGGCACAGGATACTCACATGTTTTGCTACTTGCTAAACCTCTAACTTGAGATTGTTGGACGAGCCACCTGCCTTTCTCTACTCAAACTCTAAATGAAACCTGAAAGTGAATAGTTTGTCCTTTGTCAGAACCTTCTGGAGCTCCCTTTCTGCCTAGCTGTTGCCTGGCTCACCAAGGACCACATCATCCTAGTAAGATGTCAATAAAGGACCATCTTTAATCCAACCAGGAGGCAGAGGAAGGTAGATCTCTGTGAGTTCAAGTCCAGCTTGGTCTACATAGTAAGTTCTAGGACAGCCAGTGTAATAAGCATATCAAACAAACAAACAACAACAACAAAAAAACACACTGCGTTTTAGACATGTTAAAAACAGATTAGTCAGGAACCCCACTACAGCCAAGGCACCTGATAACCAAACCCAGTGACACTCAGTCAATATAACCACACACAGGCCTAGAACCCCATGATGTCCATAACCCTAAGCTCACTGAAATGTATGTAAGCATAGACCAAGAGTGTTGCTCTGCTGTGCTCTGCACGTCTGGAGAGATGCCACCTTAATTTGCCCTGGAGATTCTCCGACAGGATCCTGACCCTCAAATCAGAGACTTCTGTAACAGACTGGACCTGCCCTCCAGCTAAGATGCGGTGTATAAGTGAGCAGCTTTGGGGAGATAGGCTTGGGACTGAAGTTAGGAATTTAGAGTGTGAACCTCATGTGATGACCAGCAGCATAATAAAATATATTTTTTGTTATACCAATTACATGTATCTACCTTCTTGCTCATGACAGTTGGCATAGCCGGCAGGATTACAGAGAGACCTTGTCTCACAAACAACAGAACTGTCAGAGGTTTTTAAGGAGGCCTCATTGATCCAGAGATCTGAAAGTCCTGTCTGCTCTTCTCACTGCACTATTTCTTGGGAAAACTGTTGGGCCAGGGTGTCTGCAGTGCAGTAATTTGAGAGCTAGCAAGGCACAGCACCTGTGTGTAGGAGCTGACCCTTCTCTTCTGGGCTTCCCCACTCCCAAGCCTTATATTCAAATTTAAGCAAATGTCATAATGGTCCCTCTACCCCTTTTCTTTTGCAAACTGTCCTGCAGGGACTTTCCAGTCAGCCCCCTTACAGGCCCCGCTTTTCCCCCACATCCTCACGTTCTTTAATTGGGAGACAGAAGCAAGGCCTTTTGACTCTCCTTGATGCAGACCTCCTGTTAGCAGCACCACTGGGACTGCGGGAAGCCTTTCCTTTTTATCACCTCTAGACCTCCTCCTCCATCACGGTTTGACTTCTCCCCTCTCTTTCAAGGCACCTCACTCCTGGCTGAGTCACCCCTAGTGGCCGCGCCTCCTCTCTATCTCTTTAAGCCAGTCCCGCCGTCGCGCCCCTCCCTCAACCGTTGCCTCCTCTGCTCCTCACGCCTCTGCTGCTCCTCCTCCCGCTCCTCCCCCTCTTCCTAGGCTCCTCCGCGCCTCTGCCGGCCCGCTGCGCGCTCTGCTCTTCCAGCTCCACGGACCGCAGCAGCCATGGCCGACATCAAGACCGGCATCTTCGCCAAGAACGTGCAGAAGCGGCTCAACCGCGCGCAGGAAAAGGTCAGCAAAGGGAGGCAGGCTGTGAGGCAGGTAGCTCGAGGCAGTGCTGGCACCGATGGCGGTGCTGGCCTCCTGCAGACTGATAGCTGCAGGGCCACGGGTTCAGGTGCGGCGTGCTGCGGAGCCGGGGCGGGAGTGGGGTGGAGGAGTCCCCGGTCCCAGCGATTGCTGCCGGGCAGCATCCATTCAGGCAGCGTGGGCACGGCCCGGTGGTGGGTACACCAGAGTCCCGCAGACCCCCGGAACCCCAGGTATGGAGTAAGCCAGAGCACCGCAGCCGGCTCAGGGTGGCCACTATCCTGGGCACGCCTCCTGGGACCAGGGGTGGCAGGTGCAGCTGCTCTCTGACTGCACCCTGAGCGGACTGCGTTCCCTGGCTCCTCCATCTGTCTGTGCCCACATCTCCCAAGCTCACGCTCTCCTGCACGCAGCTCAGGCGCCCGTGGCCATAGATCCGGGAGGGAGATTGTCGCATCCCGTCTTCCTGGGTGGAGGTGTTGTGGCTATTTGAGTGAGGTAGAAATTAACGACTTAAGCGGAGAAGGTATCCAGACGTGCATGAGCCAATGGGACGAATAATTAACAACCAACATCTTGGTAAAACGCTCAACTGGAGTTCCAGAGAATGCACACTTTCTCCCATAAATCCGTGCTCTTTTTGAAGCCAATGCCCTCTGGAAGGTCAAAAATAAATATCCCCAACCTCAGAGTTCTTCTTTGCACATCTCTGCACAAAATGCTTGTTTCTCTGCTTAAGAAGAGGGCAAAAACAAAACCCGCTCCTATTAGTGGGGCTGGGGTCGCAATTGTTTTGCAAGCTCCGCAGGAAATTAGCCTTTGTAAATTATGTCTCTTCCCGAGGGATGTGCACAAATTCAACCCAGATCCATAGCAAGCCCAGCACTGGGCAGTGGGTGGGTGCGCATTTTACAGGTACTGGGCTCTTCAGCTTCCCTGATTACTGTATCTGACCCTATAAGGTCTTCATTTGTCCTGAGCCAAGGGCATTTTATATTGGAGCTTGAACATCGTATTTGAGCGTGAACCTAGGCTAGTGATCCTGGGATAAATTGAATTGCATTTGCTTCACATGACATTAATTTCTGTCCATGGGATGAGGGTGTCTGGTGTTTTCCTGTGTTTCTGGAAATGAGGTTTTCCTTGTTTCTTACTTTGAAGGCACTTAGTCAAGTTCCAACTGCCCCCAGAGCTGAGCCAGGGAGCACTGAACTCTGTCAGTCCCCAGGCCCCGCCAGGCTGCTTGTAGTCCCTCCCTCCCTGCACAATACACCCTCCCAGTGCTGTAAGAGGATTGTATTGCTTTTAATATCTACTCAAGCTCATCCTGAAGTCCAGGATCCTCCTGCCACTCCCTCAGAAGCAGAATTAGCCAGACTACTTGTCCCCTTCCATCCCCTGGGGGCTTGTCCAGAAAATAGCCAGATATGAGATGTTTGCCAACCTCCAGATTTGGACAAGACTTTGCCATCATTTTTCCACATTTCATTTTGCCCACTTGTAGTTAACACCCCCCCCCCTTAACATAATCACTTGAATCTTTCGTCTGAGGCATTTCACTGAGTCGGCTTTCCATCTGTGAAGTAATTTGTGATATGGTCTGCTTTTTCACATATTAATCTAGGTCACCAGCTGTTCATATGTTCCAAATAAATGAAGGAAACGGTAAGCTTTTTATGACAGAGCATCGTGACCTGTACGAACTGTTGAAAACTCATTTCTTCATGCTTAAGATTAAATGTACATTATTCTGGCAGTTGTGCATGGTGTCCACTCTTCTATAACTGGGAGTTCAAGGGTCCTTTCATAGGGCTTCAATTCTCTTATCGTCTTCCCTGGGACCATTGCTTATTCACTGTACCTGTTGTACTAGCATAGGGAATTCAGACACCGAGAAGCTGAGAGGAGGGCTTCTGTCCTGTCTTTGAACCTGGGTAGCATTGGAGTATGGTTGGCACGAGGGGCTGCAGCTGTCCAGAAAAACCCAGCTGGCAGCTGTGCTCGTTGTAATTTCCCAGTTGGTACCCTCTTTCTGCTTCTTTGGTCTCTTCCTCCCCAGTGCAGACTCTCTATTTCACCAACCACACATGCTCATCAGACCCTTTGCTCCCTGGTTGGATGAAGCAGACTTTATTAAGCAAGGTTGAATTTCTTCTCAGCTCTGTTTCTAATGGCTTGAGTAAAGTTTGGCTTCAAATGCTGACTGAAATTACCCTTAGGGGTGATTTTTAAAATGTTTTTTTTTCTTCTGAAATTCAGTTAAAGTTTATTGAAGGAATAATTAAATACACATGTAAGCAGGAATTAAACTAAAGCCAAGAGATTAGGAATCTTAGTTCTGCCTTCTATAGGTTTTACTATCATCTGATGGGTATAGACTTTCCACACACACATGCACGTGTTTATACACCCAAACACACCTTCACTGTACAGTTGGGTAACCTGTTTGTTTCATTTCATAATAAAATGACTTAATATAATACTGTAGTATGTAGATGAATGACTTCTACTTTGGATATTCATTTCTCAGTGTTTCTTTATATAAATACAAGCCAGTGATATTAAGAAGAATATTTATTCATAGTCTTAATTATGACCTTGGGTCAATCTCTAAAAATAATTATGCACATTTTTGTTATGGCTGAATTGCTTCCTGACTGTTTATACCTTTCCTTCTTTGCAGCAGTCCATCCAACACTAGCCAACTCTAATAACATTTAGCTGTACCATGGGGAAAGTAGTTTATTATTAATTTCATTTGTTTATTTTTTGAAAACGGAAACATTGCCTTCCCATTTATTTTCAATTTGTGAAACTTCCTGTTTTTATTCCTTAACTACAGTGTCTCCATCTTGTTATATGTAAGGGCAACAATGCTACTAACTTTAAGCCTTTTCTATTTACTTTAAAAAGTTATTTTTATGATAATGACAGTGTTACGTTTATATGAAGATGCATATATCTATCAGTTGGGTTGTGTGTCTTTTTGGGAGCGTGGGTAACTCAGGATTTTATCAACTGTCAGAAAACTCAAATAAACTTAAAGAAAACAGTAATTTAATAACCCATAATAAAACTAGATAATAACTTATATTTGTATCTTGCACAAAGACATTTAAATTATTTTACTATAGTAATATGTATGTATTACTATATGTATATGTATGTATGTAAGCAATACACCTATGTATTCTTGCATATACATAACTGCATGAATATATGTGTGTATTATACATATACATATACATATACATATACATATACATATACATATACATATACATATACATATATCATTTAATTAAGTCAGTGTCCTTTACGACTCTAATTTTGTAGATGAGAAAAGGTGGATGACACAATTAACTCATAGCAAATCTGATTTGCACCTGAGTGGTCCATGCTTGACCGTTGTGTTCCATGGTACTACCCATTTCAATTAGGACCAGACAAACATGGACTCAGGGCTCAGGTGTCTTTCTATTGACTTCTCTTGGTAGCTCCAGGAAAACACATGCTTTTCCTTCAGAGTTTCCATAGAATGTTTTTTTTTTTTTTTTTCAATGGGGGTATTACTCACTGGCCCCAATGAATCTTGTATCTATCTCTAAAAGAAAACTTCCTATTAACTTAAGGAACAAGTCATAGTTGGATTGGGCCTGAATCAAAAGCCATTGCTAAAATAACTGGGGATTGAGAGGCCCCTTGAACTACGTGGGCTCACAGTGGAAGAAGAAAGAAGTTCAGAGCAGAAGAAAGTAGGTTCTGGACCATTAGAATAAAAGCTGTCACTGAGGGGTTTATAAGGGCCTTTCCCTACTCAGGGTTATGTAAATAACCACATATATATAATCATTAACCATTCAATATTTAAAAAGTCTCATCAAATTGATGTATCTTGCTTTAAAAAATAATGAGTTCTTAGCAGTGTCTGTTCTGTCCTCCCCAACATCCAGCTTTGCTTTGTCGAGGCAAATTAAACTAATCACAAGATTTCTTAAAATTAGGTTTCTACAGCTCAATTGGGGCTTTAGCCACTCGTACATATTTGGTAGTGGTAGAGAAGGACTCAGGTCATTTTCACTCACCTCCCTACTTCCCCTTCCCATCACAAACTATGACAAAAGTGGTTACAAATGCAGCTGGGGAGTGTTTGTGTATGGATACTGCATGATGCCTCAAGATCAAGTTACTGAGTCATTTATGTCATTCTAGACACTGATCTGTCCTCTTGTTTTTCTGGTTCTTTGTCTTTTCATGTTCAAACTTTTAATTCCCTTGGTGTTGATTCTTTTAAGAGAGCCTATTCCTCAGTTGCCAACTGTTTATTGGTAATTTTGTTTACTTCCTTTAGGGACTTGTTACTTGAGGTCTGTTGCTTGTCTTTCCCTTGCAAGGCTTGTATTTTTCTTGTTTTATGAAATCTCTTTGTATAAAAATATATTAATCTATTGTCATATTTTGTGATTATTTTCTCCCCTACATATACCAACACACCAAGCAGTAAATACATCACCCTAAAGGAGACTTAAACTTCATGCTTGTTCTGATTTTTGTGAAATCATCCTAAGAGTTTTGCTGGTTGTTTTCTTTGCTCTCTGTGAAGGCACCATACAATCTGTAATAATTCTTATGTGTCCCTTCCATGGTGGAAACTTTGTAATTATTAGGTTGAACTGTGTAAACTTTCCATTTTTATAAGTCAGTCAGATTTTGACAGACTCGTGTGGCTCTTCCCAGTGTCAATTGAATGAAATAAAAAGAAAAAAAGTATTGTCTCCTAGCACATGTGGCATGTAAGTTTTCTAGGAATTCCACCTTTGTTGGTGGTGATATTTAGTTTTATTGTTAGATATAAGGATAGCTTTTACATGCATGTGTGCATATGTGTGTATTTGTTTGCCTAGAATATTCTTTATTTGAGTCTCCAAGTCTTGTCTGCAGAAGAAGAGGCAGTATGGCTGTGATTATGTCTGAGGGCATTA